CGCTTATGTACCATATTATATTTTTATTTCTAACTAATTACAAATATCTGCATCTTTGAATGTGGCACATAACCAGTATTGACTGTATTTGTCAAGTAATGTAAAAAATATTTTGTAATTCTGAAATATTTTTACGCAGCTGCGTTGATATGTATGCAAGCACAAACATACATATGTATTTACGCTAGTTTGTAGGCAAAGCTGTAAAGCGGCAAGGGAAGCGGTATCGGTACAGCTCCGATTTTCTRCCATTGACTTTTTGACAAAGTTTGGTTGTCCGTGACAACGGAGTTTTTGTATGAAACAATGTGTATATATATTTACATACAAAGTTGTGTCTAAATTTGGTTACATCAAGAAAAAATTACATATGTATGTAATTTCATATGTGAATATGCGAGCATATATATGGTTTTTAAAATCTGTTTACATATACACATATTTATATGCATATGACTTTTAAGATTTTATCAAAACTTCAAATGCCAAAAGTAAATAAATGCATATGTACATATGTATATAACAATATATGCCCAACTTATTCCAGTGTGAGAGCGCCTCAAAATAAGCGTTTTTTATAACATTTTCCATTATGGCCAGATTGAACAAAATAAACATTTTTGGGCATTTAAAGTAAAAAAACCAACATTTATTACGATTGCAAATTATTATATATTGGACTTTTAATATATGGCGAAATTACTTAATTCCTTTTTTATGATTTTATGGTATCAGTTGTTTTAGACTTTCGATATTTCAATACTTAGTAAGGTATAACAGGCTTAATTTCTAAATTAATAAATGTTTTTAATCATTTGCAATAGAAAATTAATTCTATTATGCATCAAATTTCAAAACGTTTCATAATATATATTTCAATTTCGCATTTTCTTTCATTTTCATTATTTTAAATTTTTATTAGCGATCTTGAACGGCGGCAATAAATTCACATATATTTTTGATATAATTTCATTCTGGCCGCTCCAGTGATTCCAATTGCAAAACGTCAAAACCTACTCAATCCAGTCAACTGTCAAAGTTCGGTAGGTTTTGATTTTTAGCAATTGCTCTCTCACTTCCAGTGAGAGAGGAGTTGGGGATCTCATTATCTCTGTTGCAAAATTTTGCTATGAAATGCCGACCACTGTTGTAATACCAAAAAAGAGTCGGGTGGATCTGACAGTGAATTAATTCAACTTCAGTTCAACCGAGTGGAATTAAAAACCATTATAGAAATATTAATTATAAATAGCACATAATTTGGAATTTTGCAAAATAAAACGATAAATGTGTTAAGTCTAACGATTAAGTCGGAACGTTTCATATGAATCAGAAAGATTTTGTCTATAAATGTATAAGATCACTGCTATATGTTCTTTCGTAAAATGTAGTATAGAGAAGTAAGAAAACATAGCTAATAATATTAACACTTTTTATGATTTTCAGGAGTCCTGCAGTTAGGAAAATTTGGTCACATGTATGACATAGAAACACATCTGCGTTTGGTGAATCCCACAACTTACACTAAAATATTAAGTGAACTGAAAGACAAAGAAATTCACAATCTGATAATCGATACGAACGCTGCAAATATTTCCATCCTACTGAAAGAGGTAAATTACAGTTAATTATAATTAAAAATTAATGTGTATATCCTAAAAAGTCGGACAAGTCGAATTATATCTTTACACTGCAATAGTTTGTTCCCAGTGAGAGCAATTGTTTTTACAGATAAGTTCGATATATGCTTTTGAATGACGTCCACATTGCTGTGGTGTAAAATTGGACGCATACCATATGATCTACTTTATGTTTGGCATGTGTTTGTTTCCGACGTGAAAGGTTTGGCTGACGGCAGAAAAATAATTACCAAAGGGTGCACTTGAAATTTTGTAATTCTACTAGAATCACGGGCACGGAAACGTTGAAATGTTACAGAAGTGCCTCATGTTAGTGACAATGACATCGAAAACGTTAAAGAAACAGTGCTTGAAATAGTCGTCAGAGAGATAGTAAAAGATCAAAACATCTCTTATGGATCGACTCCATGCTCAGTTAATGTTGGAACCGTACCAGATAACCTGTATCTTCTTCAAAAACAACCACGAGTAGAGGCACAAAAGAGATTTTGATATTTGTATTTAAATACGAGAAATTTTTGTATTGCTAGCCCGGGTCAAATTTGATCAGATGTGTCCATAATTCGGCTCAAACGCTAAATGTTTAGAAATTTGCCATTTCATTATTTCTTTTGCGCTTTATTTAAAATGTTAATGTAAATTATAGTATCTTCGTGAAAAATTAAAAGATATAAGTTTGTTTGGAATCATTTCAAAACTTATGTTGATAATTAATATTAGTATTATTTACTTAACTCTCTAATTAAAATGTTTCAGATTCTGCAACTGCAAATGAATGAATACAAGTACCATTATTTATTTACTAGTTTCGACATTGAAACATTCGATTTGGAGGATTTTAAAAATAATTTCGCGAATATTACCTCGTTCCGCCTAGTAGATGTTGGCGATGTAAGTGTTAGAAACATTCTCAAAAATATGGAGGCTTATAACCACAATTATAATAATAAGACAACTTACTACAGAAAGCTGCGTACTATTAAAGTTTAGTTACTTCAATTAATGTTTATTTGTTATTTTGTAATGGGAAAATATTAATATTCAATATTTTCAGACGGAACCCGCTGTAGCGTATGATTCGGCTTATATATTCGCAATAGGATTAGCTAGTTTAAAACAGTCGCTGACTCTTGGCGTTTCGAATGCGTCCTGTGCCAGTGAAATCTCGTGGGATAGTGGTTTGAGTTTGATAAACTATATCAATTCAGTAATTCATCTAATTAACCCACTTTACATTTATATTTTTACATTTTACATTTCTATTTGTAAAAAAGGTTGAGTGGAGGGGGCTGACAGGACCTATACAATTCAAAGAAGGACGGCGGGTTAAATTTAAATTAGATCTTGTAAAACTGAGGCATCACTCCTTAGTTAAGGCGGGAGAGTGGACTCCACAAACACGTCTTAATATAACTGAGCCTGCGCTGTTTTTTGATGGCGGAACAATTAATGTTACGCTGGTCGTGATTACAATATTAGTGAGAAAAAGTTTATTAATATAATGGAGGCGATGATATATGTTACATAGACTAAATTGCTATTTGAAATCCAATCATGGTATCCGTCTTTTTTGCAGGAAACCCCTTACGTGATGATGCACTACGGCAAAAATTACACTGGAAACGAGAGGTTCTATGGATTTTGCGTAGATATACTGGAGTTGATAGCTCGTGACGTCGGCTTTGATTACATTATAGACCTAGTGCCTGATCGAAAGTATGGCGCACAAGATCCATTTACAGGCGAATGGAACGGAATGGTGGCTCAACTTATGAAATATGTAAAAACGTTCAAACACCCTAACACAGTTCGAAAATTTCTTGGAATTTAATTAAATATTTTTTATTCAACAAAAGAATGATATGTATTGTTAAAAATTTGCCGGCCTAACGACAATCCGATAGTATGGGGTTAGAAATGGGTAGAAAAGCAAGAACTTAACTCGTTCCAAAAATCTTATCCTTGCAAGCCATCAATATTATAAATATTAAACTTGCGATTGACTTAATACCGCATATATTGGCCAAATATTAATAAATATTAATGAAATTAGGAGACCATTAATATAAAATGGATAGAGTAAAGCGAATATACCATATAGCCCCCATATACCTAATATAATGATTTTTAAAGAACTACTACTACTATAAATACGTTTATTATCATTATAGAAAGCCGATTTGGCCGTTGGATCCATGACAATTACATATGCACGAGAAAGTGTTATCGATTTTACTAAGCCATTTATGAACTTGGGCATAAGTATTTTGTTTAAGGTAATCAGATGTTTACATTTTAAATGTAAGACGTAGTTCACAAAACAGAGAAATATTTTGAAATTAATCGCTGTTTCATTTATATTAAATCATACCTCAATTAGGTGCCATCAAGTCCGGCTTCTCGTTTATTTTCTTTTATGAATCCGCTGGCGTATGATGTATGGTTCTATGTTTTAGCGGCATATTTTCTAGTCTCATTCACAATCTATGTAGTGGCAAAATTGTCGCCAATAGAATGGCGCGATAAGTATCCATGCGACATGAAGAATCCTATAATTACCAACCAGTTTACATTAGCTAACAGTTTTTGGTTTACAATCGGTACATTGATGCAGCAAGGATCAGATATAAATCCAAAATCGCTGTCGACGAGAATAGTTAGCGCTATATGGTGGTTCTTCACCTTGATTATAATTGCCTCATACACCGCTAATCTAGCGGCATTTTTGACGGTTGAACGAATGATTACGCCCATTGAAAATGCTGAGGACTTAGCCAGTCAAACAGAAATATCATATGGTACTCTGGAGAGTGGTTCTACGATGACATTTTTTCGCGACTCAATTATCGAGACATACAAAAAAATGTGGCGTAATATGGAAAATAAAAAGTCCATTGCTTTCACTTCCACTTATGAGGAGGGTATAAAACGTGTTAATCAAGGTAACTTTGCATTTCTAATGGAATCTACAATGCTTGATTATACAGTACAGCGAGATTGTAATTTAACTCAAATCGGAGGCCTACTGGATACTAAAGGTAAGTTTAATCCTATTGTATATAATGCATTACATTACATTACATTCATGTATTTATGTTATCTAACATTATCCAAAGAAATGAAACCCATAAATTTTGGGGATATGCATATCAGGACGGGTTGATTTACAGGGAGCCAACGGAAAAATCGCATATGCGATAATTGTTATTCGGATGATTGTGAACCACTTTGCTTAAGGCATTTGGGGTAGTCAGAGGCACAAAAAAATTACAATTTTCAGTATTTTTTTTTTGTGCTATTAAATCGTGTTATTCTACAAAAGAAGTAATATAGCATTATTTTAGAATGTGTTGACACATAAAATCAATACTTAATTGGTCTTAAAAAATCGAAATTTTTGAAAAAAATCCTTCGCTCGGGAGTGAGTTTATTATGTATTCTAAAAGCTGTATAAATCTCATTAAAATCTACCAAGCGGGTTTGGAGCTACAGTTGTCACCAGTTCAAAAACTTAATTTTGCGAAAAACGCATTTAAAGTTTGGCTTTTTGCTTAGAAGTGCCCGAACTCCCTTTTTTTTTTTTGTCAAATAACTCAAAAACTAATTTTCGGGTCAAAGTGAAATTTTCAGCGAATATTTTTAAAATATTACACTTTACGAAAATGCAAAAAATAATAAATTTTTTTGAAAATTCTGTCTATCTAACCCCTTAAGAAACTTTGGGTATGAAACTAGTGCATTCTAAAGCCAAGTTTGTTTCGGAACCATAAAAGTTTGTCCTTCAGTTTTTGAGATATCCAAATGAAGTTTAATTAAGTGCATTAAGATGTTCTTTTGATCAAGAATTATTCAGATCTTTTAAAATTCATCTTAAATATCGCTGGTCCGAAACTAGCTTTAGACCCAAAGTCTCTTAAACAAAGCTTTAGAGAATAATCCATAGATTATTTCCCGCAAACCCGATTTTATAAAAAAAAAAATCGACCCGCTCTGATAATATTGTATATGTATGCCAAAGCATGCTTAGTTTAAGTCCGCCAAGCTGAAAGCTAACGCCATTCAAAAAAAAATTTTTTAAATTTTTACAGACTGTTTTTCTTGTTAGCTGATCTGACAAAAATAAACTGCAGAAACATTTGAAGTCAAAACTAACTCTTCTGTATTTAGTTCTATAAAAGTAAGTAGTGTCCGTCCGCACTAGATATAGAATCAAGCTACTTCATCCACAGATATACTGAAATCGAAGGAACTTTGAAAACCGATAGGCTAATAAGAGAAGACACCCGTACCTCGCTCACAGAGGAATGGGAATAAGTTGGATCTAAGTTGTCATCTTTCGTTCTGGCACTGAATCTATGGATCTCGCGTGCACTTTATAGGCGTTGGTCGACGATCAACTTCTGTGCGATTGCAAGATCTTTCTGTCCTAGAGTAGAACGTATGAACGTGGCAGCTTGCTCTTAGCAAAGTTCATTGTCATAGTTATATGGAGAAAGTGGGCTGAAAACTTCCAATTCGTGTCAGATATGACGGCACATATGTGTCAACCTAGCCTTGCGAAGGCTAGACTATGGCACTTTCTTCCCTTTTCCACGAATCAGAAGACATGGCCTAAGTTGCCATTGACCGCCACAACAAGACACATTGTCGATTCTGTCCTTATGATCAACTTTATAGGAGTGGATATTTAATTAAATTAGTTTAGTAAAAATTTGTTTGCTGCGTACTTAGATAATAGAATTCAAAACTATACATTTTTAGTTAACAACTATGTATGCAAATAAATTATAGGTTATGGAATTGCTACACCAAAAGGTTCACCCTGGCGCGACAAAATTTCATTATCCATTCTTGAATTTCAAGAAAAGGGAAATATACAAATGCTATACGATAGATGGTGGAAAAAAGCAGGAGACACTTGCTCACGTAAAAGTAATAGCAAGCAAACGAAGGCAAATGCTCTTGGTCTGGATAACATTGGTTAGTAATGTTGATAAGACTTTAAATGTTTTGATTTTGCACTTGCGCTGATAACTTCCATTTCACAAAGGTTGCTATGCGTAGAATATTCGATTTTATGTCGAAAAACAATATTGAATACAAACATTTGAAAATATATAGAGTTATTTTCTATTGAAGGTGGCGTATTTGTGGTCCTTTTTGTGGGCATAGGTTTGGCCGCTTGGGTTGCTGTATTCGAATTCTGGTATCACTATCGCACTCGCGGCAGTGTATATTGCTGCGAAAAGGAGCACAGCACTGTAGAGAGGGTTATAACTGAAATGGCAGTTAACGACTTTGATTCCGTATATAAATCGAACAAAGAAAACGTAGAAAAAATACAGGTTAAAGACCAGAAGCTGACTTGCAAACATATCACAGCATATTGTTGTAAAGAACCACCAGTTCAACGTCCACTATGCGGCGAAATGCTGGACGAGTTTCGTTATGCATTGCGATGTATGGACTCACACCGACGTCCAGCTTTTAAGCGGAGTTGCCCAACATGTCATGTATTAAATGATGATAAAGAGTTTATTGACATAGAAAGTAGATCATCAATGGCCGTACACGGCAGCCTTATTGGGAGTACACCTAAATATTTATAAATGTATCATACCTCAGGCATCCCTGAGCTTAATTGCTTTATTTCCTAACAATAAAAACATTGACTAAAATTGCGTTAGTATTTACATTCTAATGCGTAAATCGATCTAAGTCAGCTTAATATAAGAGTACCAATCAGTTTGATTAATAAATGTAGGACTAAAAAAGGGACCCTGTGTATTGGACGATTTTGACTAACGCTAACATTGGTTGAACGAAACGGGCGCAAACAAAAACTGACGAAAATAGATATTAGAAACGCCCGATGAATGACCAACAGCAAAATACAATTGCAACAAAATTAGTAATATGAAATTGTAAATCGAACAAGAAATAAATAATGAATAAGGCTATATACATAAAGCTTTAGCTACTCCATTCATAATTCAAGAACGAAATAGTTCATAATCAATATATGTATACCACGGAGAATAGTGCGCTGAAAATTCGAAGGCGGCACCATTTAGCAGCAGATCGTGAAACCCGTCGACAATTAACGAAGTATATATATAACTTATATCGGTTTTGGAGGCTGTTCTGGCCATACATGCTAAGGTAAAATCTCAACCTTAAAGTTCCAAGTCCATATGCAGTTTTGGAACAATAGGAAGTACAGTTAAATTTTGGTGCAAGCTTGGCATGCAAACAACAATGTTAAGCATCAACGAGTTTGACGAGGGGAATGTAGTTCATTCATGTTAATTACCCCAGGCCCGGAGTTTTCGATGGAACCTAAACGAAACTCCTTAAGGTGAGTTGAAATATTCAAAAATAAGTTTGCATAGCTTTTTGAATCCAGGACGGAGTTTTCGATGGAACCTAAACGAAACTCCTTAAGGTGAGTTGAAATATTCAAAAATAAGTTTGCATAGCTTTTTGAAAATATTCATCACTCAGAAGAGCCAGTGAAAAGGCCCCGTAGGCCTCATAAGAAGCTGGACACTTTCTGAACGTTTTTATAAAAAAGTTAATTTCATGCCATGGTGTTGTCGCACCTGCAGAATCTTCAACAACACTCGAATAAAATATTAACGAAAAAACGGAAAAAATTGCAGAGTCCGTGCTACTCAATGCCGTAATATGTTTTAAATAAATAATATAGGAAAATTTATATTGAAACAATATAAGATTGCCCGATTTCACCGACCGCAATTTTCCCGATAATATATTTAGTGCAAATAAAGAATTGGATGAAAATGGCAGTGAAAAAGACAATGAGTTCACAAGAAACACTTTCTACGTAATATTTACTTTACAGAGTTAACTGTTTAATGAAGAGAAGATTCACCGCGGTGAGTGACATAAACGAATCGTTTTAATTACACTGGTAAACACATAATTTGTGACATGAAAATTCTTAGGTGTTTCACTCACAGATGTTCTGTAACCTGCGGCCTTAGATTTTACAACACATAAAATTTCATTACATTGTATCATCTCATCTTTATATACAAAAATCGTGTGTAACGTTGTTTGTCCGCGATTAACTCCTAAACTACTGAACCGATTTTAGAAAAATAGAGCACACTGTGTTCCGTTCGAAGCAACTTAAAAGATAAGATAGTAAAAACAATTGATAAATAAAAAATACAGTGTATTAAGCGGACAACTCTATAATTTTTTTTCAATAAAATTTACTTGTATGAACATATTCAAAATTAATCCTCAAGTACAGTACCTTGGATTCTTGTACCGTCAAAACGTTTTCGCCTTTGTTCGTAAATAAAATTTGCACTGTACTGAATAGTTTATTATATGAATATAAAATGTATACCACATTAACGCATGGCCGGATCCCCAAGTATTTTTATATGATCAGGGATTTATCCGGTTTATACCAGTTCTGCCTCCTTGTTTGAAGTAAACAGAGAATTTTACGATCATTTTATTTTACAAAATTTAACAGTATCAGTGGAAAAACGTAATTTTACTCCGCTAGTGCTAAAAGCTTACGAACTGTATTTCGATGTTAAAGTTGGGGATTAAGTCAAAACATGGACCCCTCATATCAGTTGTGAAACTAGTCGTGAATTGTTTAAGCGGCGATGGCGGTTAGCTGGGAATTATGGTTTAATTTTGTATGAGTGGTGCATATGATGTTGGGTACCACCCCCAGGCCACGAGTTCAGCACCGTATGGAAGCACAAGTGGTAGTAGCTTCGGCTACGAAGTCTGACCGGAAACTTAATTCTAGTACCACGGAGAGCAGGAGCCCTTGGAGGTTACTCCAACCTGCTCATGCGGACTGGACTCTCGGGGAGTATCGTGGTGGTTGTGGTTAAAGCCCAAAGGCGGGAAGAACTGACTGTATCAGTTGAATGTGGTTGGGCATGCTTTCGTCCGACCATATTTTACAAAGAAGCTGGTGCATGCTCCTTATCAGTTCCTCGCCGCCGTGTTTGAATATTATCGCGATTATCGACCCCGCCGCTTTGTTGTTCTTCTGGCGGGTAATTGCTATTCGAACTTAATCATGGTCAGGCAATAGAACGTCTGCTCCATCGTCATCGTCAGCAGGCTGGAGAAGTTTTCCCTCCATAATTTCAGTATGCCCTGGGAATCAGTCGCTAGATCACCTCTGAGCGTTTGACATTAGTATGCTTCGGTCTTGACACCTTCTGTTCGTCCCCGTATTTTTTCGTATAATTTTCGAGCATTGCCCCTATCGGCCAGCTTGTCAAGCTCGTCGTCCTCACGCCTTTCGGCTTCTCTCTTTTCTTGTTAGAATGAGTTTCGCTTCCCTCTTCAGCTCTTGGTATCTATCCCATTCCGAACGTGTTGTGGTCGATTGTAACATTTCGAGGTAGGCAGTTTGTTTTCTTTTCGCTGCGACACGACACCCGTAATCGTAGCAGCTGTTCTTGTGCACTTTCCGAAAACCAATGGCGACAACCGTTATCATGAGTAAGGCCATAAGTATAAAACGTGAACCTCTAGTTGATCCCAAAAAGATAGGTGCAAAGGTGGTAGTTTGCATATAAAATTAGGTGTAATTAAGAATTTTGTTAAGGGAATGGACAGAAATGGAAGAGGATGGTGTCAGAAAGAAAAATTTCCAATAGTCAGTGAAGCAAAAATTAAGGAGGGAATTTCCATCAAGACACTTCTGCTATGAAGAAACGGTACCAAGGCAAGTGGAGTGCCAGTTTGCGTGCCGATTACTTCTGGACATTGTTAAGGGATACTCCAAAACCAAAATATCGCCGAAAAACATGGACAGTAACATTTTAAGATACACTTTGGTTAATAAAATAATATAACAATAATATATCTATAGGTGTTTTTTTTTTTTTAATAAAAAATCTCATAGAAAAAACTATAGGTGATAGAAGAAATGTAGCTTTTTTCTGAATTTGTGGTAATTTTTACATAATAACCACTTTGTTCTGTTCATGTCACAAAAAAGTGCATTTTTGTTCACCGGTGTTATTATGGCAGTCCTATATTATGAAATAAGATGAACTCAACGCAGCTGCAATAAGTGTACAAAAAAGTAATTTGTGGATGTGTTTTATTATTATTATTATTACATTTATTAGGAAAAATATACAGGCTATTAAACCTAATGATAAGGAGGAGTGCGAGCAGCTTTGGCCATCGACTCCGATATTATAACAAATCTATATTATATCATATTATGTATGTTACATTCCACTAGAAAATTATAAATACATGTAATATT